CCCAGACAAAGATAAAAATAGTTCAGAAGTTGGAACTTCTCTTGTCACAAGTTACCCCTTCGAGAACAAAAAGGGAACTGTTTCATTTATTGTAGTATTTTAATGACTTGAGTTTAGGAAAAAAGCACAAGTAAGAAAAGTGAAATCAACAAAAATACAGTTTAAAGAAGGGCAGTTTTCTGAACAATTGTATTTCTCTCTACACTCAATCACATATGGTTCTATATAACTTGTGAGTTTATAGCAGTCCTCAAGGAAGGAGAATAAAGGATCAAGCTTGTTATGAATAAGCAGCTCCTCTGCAAAGGGCTGAATTTTATCTACCAAGTCCTGTAATTTAAACATCCTTTTTTTGGTACCCAGAGAGTTTTCCAAAGGCTCCAGTTCCAGGAACCAACTATATAACTCCTGTTAAAAGAACAAGTTCCTAACTCTTGTACTATCAAAGCAAACACTGTAAATCCATGGCTGGAACCAGTGGTCATGCTTGGCAATGAGGAGAGCACATCACATGGGAGTGCCCTGATCCCAAAGACACCGAAGTTACTGATAACCTTTTCCTTGCCTTTACTGGCTCCTAGATCAGAGCTTTAAATAAAACAGATAGTGGCTCGTGCACTTACTGAGAAAAGAATCTACAGAAACGATGGAAAAAAAGTAATTTTTTTTAAAATAAATTTTTCCATATAAGGAGCATGGAATCTTCCTGTGAAGGGAAATTCCAAAATCAGGACCAAAATAAATACTGAAGTGGGATGCCAAGTAGCAGCAGCATAGGACTGATGTGAAATAGCCAACAAGCAAGACCTTAAGCTGTGATTTGAAGAAACACAATAATAAACCTATGAGACACATACTTTATAATCTGGGTTTGTTCATGAACAATCAATATTTTTACACCAATGACATTTTTTTTGTTTTTTAGCATAAAGCACCTTGCATGCAACTGTCTTCAGGAAATTTAAGTTGACCAACATCCTGTAATTATCATACCTTGTTCAGAGATAAAGGAACAAGTTCAGAGATAAAGCAAGGCACCAACAGCCTTGATCAGCAGCACAGAGCAGGCCAATGGGAAGGCAGAAAACAGAAGCCCACATTCCAGCAACTCCCACAAATATCCCCCAACCAGCCCATGAGGCCACTTGCTCTCACAAGGACTGCAATGAGATCGTATCAACATTGGCATATTTCAAGTGCAAGAACAGTTCCTGTGGAGAAGCCCCACTTTTAACTTGGTACCACCATTTCAAAAATATGTAACAGATGTCTGTGGATGGCGTTGACAAGTGCTGACTGTTTAACAGCAACCAAAATTATGAACACTGACCCATCTCTGGGAATGCCATAACCCTGCAGGGAGAAGCCGAACAAAGCTGATGTGTGACATGACACTCACAAGTCCCCAGGAGAAAAAATGGGTGGGACAGAACATTCCAGAAGGAGATAACTGAGTTGTTTTAAATTACAGAGTTTGAATCTGTTATTGTCAACTAACACAAAGAACAAAAATTAACAAAAAAAGTAATCAGGCAACAGTGAAGCACATGGTTTCAGCTCTGCTCCCTTTATATAAATAATAATGGCCCATCTTCGTGAACGAAGATTTGGGGAAAGGTCTTTTACCTTTCCAGCCTGCGCAATGGATTTTTTAGGTGAGACACAGCCTGCGCTGAACTGAGCCCACCCTTTAATCCTAAGGTTCATCTGCCGGGGCCAAGCAAGCTTGGACAATGGCAGTGAGGTCCTCAGGACGTAGGTTTGTTTAGAGTGTCCTTCTCATAGATGGATGGCCACACAGGGCTAACGACCTCCATCAGGCCAGAGACCGGGATTTGAACCCGTGGTCGCAGCAGTGAAAGTCCTGCACGCTAACCACTAGGCCACCAGGGGTCTCTTTATACAGAGTAAGATATGAGCAAAGTCAGTGCCCATCAGATCACTCCGTCAATCAATCTCTTTTATTTATATCTGCTCAGCATCCCTCTAATTAATCTTCTAAACGAAGTACTAAACTGTGCATTCTCCCTAAAAATCTAATACACATCATCTACTGTAATGTACTATCCTGAATAAAAAAGAAGTTATTCAAATGCAAAACACTCTTACTTCACCTACTAAACATTAACAATGCAACCATATCCATTGATCACACATTGAAACCACAAATATTCATAACTGAGCTACCTTTAACAGTTACCCAAGTCGCCCTCCAAACTGCATTTATACCAGGGAAAGCTGCTTTCTGAAAACAAAAGAACTAATAACTCAACTGTATATGTGCCCACTCAAGGGAACAAGACTTGTCATAGAATTCTCCAGACAGCACTACAACCACTGGAAGCATTTCACAATTAAAAGCTACTTTGCCTATCAACAGTGGTAGAAGTGCTACTATCAGGGTCCAAATTCTTTTAGAAGTTGGTCTGACACAGTAAGTTTTCTGCTTTTACTTTTTTCCTACTTGCAAAAAACAACAGCTTCCTAAACCTGAAGCCTCTTATGATAACACAACACTCCAGGGGACACAGCTAAAATTGCTTATCCATGGTTGACTTTGGAGTTCCCTGGTTTTTTAAGTGCTTAACCATCAAACCTCCCTTTTCTCAAACAGAACAACTCAAAGCCCACAGTGGTGTCTATGCTGACTGCACTTCACTGTGGATAATAAACCTGAGTTTCAAAGTAAAAAATAAAATCCAAAGTATCACTACTAAATGTGTGACCGGCACTTCAGCTCTGCTCTCAGTACAACTGCCACTGTGAACAGGCTGAATATCACACAGCTGATGTCACATCACAGAGAACTGAGACTACAATGTAGAAAACCAGCTTCCATGTTGTCACTGTCTGCACAGAATCACACACTGAGGCCAATCTGAGTCTTGAAGATGATTCTGTTCATTTTTGTTTTGTTTTCAGCCTTTGTTTAATGCATGTTTGCCTAGCACAGTTACTCAGTTTGTTCTGCAGCAAAAGCAAAGGTTTTGTACTGAGATCATAAAACTCATCAGTGACTAGAAGCAACATAGTTCACCTTCTGTAATTAAATCTGCTGGAGTTCTGAATGAACCTGCTGCATGAAGTGCGAAAAGACAAAAATCCTGCACCATGTGACACCTCCAAGTGTTTCTAAGAGTTAGCTGGCAATCAAAAGTTGCTCCTTCAATTACAATGGAGTTGTTTCAGATTAAACTTATCATCAGCAAGACCTGGGATTAGCCCAGCTCCTAAATAAAACCTGACAAGTTACATTCAGGGCACAGTTATGACAATACCTATACTCACTTTGAAGGGCTCTCTGATACAACCCACACCAGCTGACTTCTTATTTCTAACTTGGCTAAAAATTCTCATTTTACAGCACTTTTCTCCTTGAAAGGCAGTCTCTCCTCCTAGTCTACTACTACATACCCTGGAAGTGGAATTCCTTGGTGATGGCAAAGAAAGCATCAAGAATTACAGGTATCTAATGAATTTCAGCAGTATCAAGTTTCATTTTGAACCCCTGATGATAATGAATGGGTGGAAATCACATCAATCAGTAGGTAACTACTAACTTCATACCAGAAAGAAGTTTGAGTTGGCAAACTACAGCTTGGTAGTTCAACTTGGTATGAGTGAACTAGCAGTTCTACAAATAGGACTAAACTCAGGCAGATTTGGGCTATTTTCAGTTCTTGCTCTTGCCACAGAAGACAGGAAGAACGTGCACAGCAGAATGACAGAATATTAAGAGCCCCTAAGGCATTATACCATTGTATTGAGCTACTAACAACTTAGTGACTTAGACAGTGGTTTCTGATTAAAAAATTAAGCTACACTGATTCAATAACAGGTGACCACATAGTGAGTTACAAATATTTCTATTACTTTTGTTGGCTATTCATGTCACTGATGCACCAACTTATCATTTCTGCCAGCAGACATCATCATGCCCTTATGTAACACATATTGTACTGAAATCTTGAATATGGCTCAGTTTTGCTGACCCCTTGATTAAAAAAAAAATAAAATAACAAAAAATACAGAGAAAGGAGATGACACTGGCAAGAGATATGGAAGAAATTCTATACAAGAGAAGTGTCTAAAAAGCTAAGAATTCTTTATGTTGAAATAAAGGAGGTAGGGATATAATGAAAGAACACAGTTCTGAAATAGTACAAAGATAGTGGGCAGAGAACAAGCATAATACACTTTATAAGAACCAAACAGTATCAGGCAGTAAAAAGAAGCAAAAGGAAATAGTTTTTCTACATATTAACCAGTGAAACTCACTGTTGACAGACTTTCTAAACTGTTCATATTTCTAGAATCTGGAAAAAAATCATTTGGATGAATTAACGGCAAGTGTGTCAAGGGCTATAAAACACACAGGTGTGGACACGCTGACACTTGCAAAAACGTAAACTGTAGTTGGAGAAGAAAAGGTATTTCAAGATTATTCTCTGCTATAGCATATACTCCTGACAACCGAGCACAAACAGCTTGAGTGTTGCTGGAATCCAAGCGCAGGAGAGATGGCAACAAAACCAGAAGCAGGAAAGCGTGAAGAGAGATCCCGAACGCCAACCTCGGTTCATGCTCTGCACGCTGTGCTCAGACAGACCAAAAGACCTGGCCCAAAGCAAGAACAATTGCGACACGCATTCTTCGCGAGGAAAGTTATTCCCTTCTTCCCCTCTCTCGCACAAACTGCTGGATTCGGCTCAGGCTACGTGCAGCCACGGCTTCTGGTGGGACACCGATGCAAAGCGCAGCAGCTCCTCACAGAGCCCCTGGATGCAGCTCCTGGAAGCCGAGCGTGCGAGGGGAGCAGCTTTGAAATGGCTACTTACAGAGCCCAAACACGCGGCGCAGGAGCCCCGCGGGGCAGCCCGGACCGCGCTCCCGCAGCCGGGGCAGCGCCAGAGCCCCGCGGGCCGCGACCCCTCAGCGCGGCCCCGCCGCCCCCAGCGCCGCCCCCGCCCCGCTGCCCCCGCCCGGCGCCCACCGCCCACCTGGCGCGGGGCTCCCCGCCCGGCCTCTCCTCACCGCTCCGTGCCCGGCGTCCCGGCCGGGCGCCCCGCGACGAGGCGCTCTCGGTGCGGGGGGAGGGCTGAGACCCCGCGCGGCCTCCGGCGCATGGGAGGCGGCGCGCCCTGGGCCGGGAATGCCGGAGCCCCGCCGGACCCGAGCAGGTTCCCGGCGGCTCCGGGGCTCAGGCTCAGCCTCTCCCGCTCCCCTCGCGCCCGCCCGCGCACGGCGCCGCTCGCGCCCGCTGCCGCCACCTGCCGGCACGAGCCCGGCACGGTCCGAGCCCTCCCCCGGCGCTCCTGAGGGTGGGTGAACAGCGCGGGATGGATGTGCAGAGCGGGATGGGTGAACGGCGCGGGATGGATGTGCAGCGCGGGATGGGTGAACGGCGCGGGATGGATGTCCGGCGCGGGATGGAGGTCCAGCGGGGACCGGGGAGGGGCACGACACCTTCCAGCGGCGCCGGTGCGCGGACGTGCGGGGGAGAAGGCGGCGGGGGGCGGTGCGGGGGCTGCCCCGCGGATCACCCGCGTCCGTCCTCGCCCCCGTCCGTCCGCCCCCGCGCCCATCCTCCCCGCGTCCATCCTCCAGCCCCCCGCGCTCATCCCACCCGCGCCCATCCCCGCGCGGTGCGGTGACATCCAGAGGTGTCAGGGAACGGTGCCCCTGCGGGAGCGGCTGGGCAGGTGCCGCTGCCGGGGTCGCCCGGGCTCCGCCACCGCAGCGAGAATGCGGGACATTGTCATCCCTCAGTTCCTCTAGCCCTTCGCTGTTGGAGACACCAACGCACCCCACACTGCTGCCTTCGGAAGCTACAAGAAAACACGGGAGACAACGGTCATCTCCCTGCCCACCGGCTGGATGAAAGACCATCTGCTTCCAGCAAAATACTGATAGCCAGAAGATAATCTGTGTTCCTGATAGTGTTTGCTTAAAAGCCCGAGATTTGAAACAGAGCCAGTGACAGTGGTACACTGACACTGTGGAAAGCAAGCCACAAACAAACAACTACGAGGAGGATCTTTTCTTGAAAACTTTTGAGTTGGCATCTCAGGAAAAAAACGGATTTGTGTCTCTCTTCCTGCTTTATATTAAGTGTACTGGACCTAAGATCCCTGAGGGCATTTTTATTGAACAGAGCAATAAAGTGTCTAGCATGAGCTCTAAACCTTAGAACCAGATAGTCACTGGCAACAGTTCACTGCAACATTTAGTTTTATGCTTTAAAAAACCCACAAAACTATTATTCTTGTGCTGGAACTGGCCCAATCAGGTGAACCCATTTGCTTTAAAGCACAGCAAACAAGTTGTTTTTTCCTTGGCAACATTTTGGGCTCAATTGCACTTAAACTCAGCCAAAACAGTAAAAGATGATGTGTTGATTGTGCTGTTCATTGCACCAGAAAAACTTGTCCATTCCCAAGTCCACATATAGCAACAGGCTCTAAGCAAAAGATCTATTGCAGAAAACTTACTTTCCCCTGTGTGTTCAGCAGGCAATTGCCACAGCACAGCACTCCCAAACAGCTTCAGACACCTTGCAGGCACCATGGCAGATCTTGGCTGCAGAAAGACAGCTGTATACAGCTGCATATTAAAGTTTTCTCACAGGCAAAGAAAAGCTGCATTATAACACTAAGAGAGGGGTAGCTATACTACCTCCAAGAGATTGAGTTCTCATTTGTAGGAAGCAAATGGCTTTGGAAAGCACAGATTTAATTTAGAAGGAATTCTGCCGGTCCCTCCTGAGTTATGAGGTGGTTTGGTATCAGGTAAGCCTGTACCTCTGCATCAGAAGTAGACTGAAGCCTGTTTGGCAGTGGTAGCCAATCTACCAGGAAGCAAATGCTGCTCTACTCTGACCATGGTCTAATGAAGTACACACATAAGTGACTAATTGCTAAGCCAGGTAGCATGTGAGCAAGACTAGCTCTGGCAGGTTACAGTATTTTAGTTCTAATTGCTGCTGCAGAGCACATGTTCTACCTCATCTACTCTGCCAATTACTTGACTCCTGTTTGCTTCAGGGAGAGACAGAACTGCAGCCAGAGGGACTGCAGACAAGAATTTCTTTTCAAGAGCAAAGACCTAAGTATTAAGGTATTAATTACTGTACTTAACTAACACTGGAACGCTCTGCTTGAGCCAGTTCCTAACTCCTGATATTGAAGAAAGATGACTTTAACTGTGCCAGTCTGAAAATTAGCTACCAAACTCTATGAGCCCTCAGGGGAGGAGGAGCTGCTTCTACATTAAGGGAAGCTGAACAGCATTAGCCTGCACCCTGGAGGTCCTGGTTCAGCTGGGCACTAAATAGCATCAGAAGAGCTGGAGCCTCGGTACATTAAAGCAGAGACCACAAGGAGGCCTTTTGAAAAGCTGAGGAACATACACTTGCCACTGCTTTCCCTTCCCATCTCTTTTGTTGCCTTTAATTTCCCTAATCTCCCTCTTGCTTTCTATTTGACTTTTGGAGTGATTGCTCCCTCCCAAGAGCTGATGCAGAATCCTGTCTCTCATCCCTGCACCTCCTCCTCCCCTTGCTGCTGCGAACAGCATGCCTGGTGTTTTCCAGGAAGTTGTCCTGCTGCTGAGGGGGTGAGGAGCAGCACTTCCCACACCTCATCTGTGCATCAGAGCAGCTGACACTCAATTTGTTCTGAACAACTGCAGAGCTACGAGTTTCCTCATTATACTGCAACATTATCCAAGGTTTTTCATGGTCTCATGTAACAAATGGGGCTATCTGAGGAAAAAAACCCAGTATGCTCAGTCTACTGGTTGCTTTTTAATAAGAGATGGATGTGTAGAAGAATATGAAATAGCATCAATCTTTTAAATAGAGAGTAAAACACAAATGCTTGAAAGAAAACAGCATTCACTAGATTAAATGTAACTGCAGTAACTCACAAAGGAAAAGCTTGTTTAAAGTTTTAGTTTGCCAGCAAAAGATGCCGTAGAAAATAATGTGTTTAAGGGAGGTATCAACTCACCAACGAAAGAAAGATCTGAGTAGGACAAGAATCACAGAATCATAACATCATTTAGGTTGGAAAATAACTCAAGGATCATTGAATCCAAGAGTAAACCCAGCACTGCCACTCCCACCACTGAACCAAATCAAAGTGCCACATCTACATGTAACCACACGAATCAACTACTCGATCATTTCTTCAGCACATGGTGATCCAGCCACATTTTTTCTCCTCTAGTGAGGGCAGGGAGAGCCACCAGCACCACTCACACAGCAAATTTCAAAGATTCTGTTTCAAGATGCAAGAGGTATTGGGGTATTTTTACTTCCAGAGCTGAAAGACTTCCCTGCCCGTGAGCCAGTTCTTTGGCCAGCTGCCTTAGTGAAAGAGGAGGAATCTACTTCAGTTGGTTTCATTAAAATTCTTTGGGTTACAGCAGCTTGGGAACAAGACATTAGTGCTACTTCAAAAATTCAGAGTAGAGCACAGCATAAAATGATAAGACTGGCAAACATGAGAGGGTGGAACAGGGGACTGCCCTGCAGGACTGAACTGCTGCTCACTAGTCACAAAGAATCATCTCACACTAGCAGTGAGAATGAAAGTGGGTGAAAATCCCCATTGGGATAAGGAAAGAGAGAATCTGAGAAAGAAGATTAGATTGTGGTAGAGTAGGAAGCTAGAGTTTCCCTCCCTTGAATTGTTGCAGCCACTTATTACTTGTTTCAATACTTCTCTGTGAGCCACTAATTGTCGCAGTGGGATCTTTCTGCTTCATTTCCCTCTCTTTGTGAGAGCAGGCGTCAACACTGCAAAGAGTTAGAAATCTGCAGCCTGGTATACAGAGCACAATGTCCGATTTGCAACATGTCCAGCACAGGTCAGTGGCATGGTTAAGCCTTGGAAAATGCCTTTTATACAAGCATTAGATTTCAAGATCCTGGGGGGAAAAACCCCACTCTTGCAAATCCCAAAACCAAACAGAAAAAAAAATAAAATGGAGACAATGAGTTAGCTCGCTGGCTTGGAAGAAAGACAGGGTAGTTTTACAAGTTTTCTCTTCACCCTTTGATCTGTTCTCTTCAAGCAGGAGTACTTAGTAGAAAGAGCACATGACACAATAGAAAAAGAATAGTAGCTAGCTCAGTTGCAGCTTAGCTATCCCTGAACAGCAGCAATGTTTTGTAGTTCACACTCAGAAACTCTGTTCAGAAAAGCCTCTGTTGTATGTCCCCATCCATGCCTGTTCCCAGTGCTAGATCAGCTGTTCCTGTCAGATCCTTGCCTGAGAACAGTGGAGATGCATAGAAGATGGAAGGTTTTCCAATTAATATGTCACATTTCAGGAATGGGAGAACATGCTTATTTTATATTCATTGTACTTTGCATGTGAGGGCATGTTCCAGGGATGGCACATTTCCCTGGCACCTGTAGCCGCCCTGGTATGTGGTACCAACACCTCACTCTTAAGGCAAACTTCACAACAGCACAGCAAGGCAGGTTTGCTTTCTACCCAAATTAAAAAAGGACTTCCCTCTTCCTCCTCCATACTAAACATTTCTCTCTGGCCACACTGGAGGAGTTCTCCATGTTCCAGATAAGCACCAGACAGGTCATGTACAACTACACAGACCACACCCCTTGCTCTTACTACTGTGCTACGTATAAAAACCTCAAGAGTATTCTTTATATGGACACACTCATTACTTTTTTTCATTGCCTCTTGCTAATCACCATCTTTAGTCATTTAGAGCTAGCATTACAAAATTTATGTCAAATAACCTGTCTACACATGTTTCCTGCTTAAGCCTTCCTTTTAGAACACATTCACAGCAGAAAATATGAGTGAAGGACAAGCAGAAGGTTACACAGATTTAGGTGAAGCAAAAATATGCCTTTAGGGAAACAAGAAAGTCATTCAACTGAGTGACATTTTAGCTTGTGTTTCTTATCTTTCCTATCTAAAAGCAAGACTGAAGACCTACAGCACACACACCATGTGCTGTTTTACATTTATTTTCCTTTGTTGTTTCTCAGCTGTATAATTTAAACCTTCTTTCTTTTACTATATCTGTAACTACAACACATTCTATTATTTACAAATGGAGAGTGACT